CAATTCAAAGTGAGTAGAATCACCATTGAATGCAGGTGGTTTTGCATAATAGTGACTCTTCTCATGAGAACTAATCAAGTGGTATACTAGTGCTAGTAACATTATTATTACTGGTATCACCCATCTAGTATACTTTTCTCTTCAGGATATTTTTTTGCACCGCTATTAAGTGTTAAGCACATACCAAGCTCTGATACCAACTAAATATGAAAAAATACACAAGAAGGGGGGGGGGGGGGGGTGAATTGTTAAACTGATAACTTAAGCTTTTTCAAACTACAACTTCTGAATCTGACCAAGTTCAGATTCTAAGCTTAAGTATGCAGTAATAAAATATTTAAAATGCATAAGCTATAAGTAAATCACACACAAAATGTGTCATGGTTCCTATATAATGAGAGTAATCCAGTCCCCTTGTCACGCAAGAGTTTTCACTATAATCAGTAGTCGATTACAATTTGCTTAGACACACCCGTTCAAGACTTCCTGGTCAATTTCACTAGAAAGTAGGGATGGTAATTTGGCCCATACCCTATAGGTACCCACAAAAAATACCCTATATATATGATTTTTGAATAAAAATCTCAAATGAAATAACATGATGCTAACTATATTTTTTATGATTTTTGAGAATGTCATGATGAACAAAAAACGAAAATATGCAAAACGGTCGACTTTTGAAACATGAAATATGCATCAGATGGAAAAATCAGGTGGATTAAGCCTACTTGGATGTAGGAGTCTTCAAACCATTTGAAACCCTAATTTGCACGAACATTGTTTCTTGAACCCATGCCTTATTGAATGAATGAATGTTATGCAGATGATGTTATACCCTAAATTTACCCCGTCAACTTCAATGTTCATTTTACTTATATTTCAATATTATTATTGTGTTTCTAAAAATTATAAAATTCTATTGTTTCAATTTACGTATTTTTGGGTCTTATTTTAATAGGGGTTTAAATTCATAAGAGAAGTGTATTGCTTCAAAAGGGACCATTAAAATCTGATGGCCCATTAGGCCTTTTGGTTCCATTTATGAGTTTAGAGATTTTTTTAAGAAGTTTGCGGGCTTTCTAAATTAGAAAGGCCTATTTAGACTTTTGCAGTCCATTCAAAAAGGAGGGAGGTGCATTATTGTACATGTGGGTGATGTTTCTCTTAAAACCTGATGGCTTGCTACAATTCTTTCGAGCCCATTTAGATAATAAGGGGTGTTATTTTTTAGCCCATTTGATTTCAGAGGCCATTGATATTACTACTTCATATAAAGGGGTGTATTTTAGTAGGGCTTGGGAGTTTGTGTGTCCAAAACGCCCATTACGTTTTTGGGTCTGTACATGGGTGCTTGCAAAATAAGGGCTGACCCAAAAGATTTTGAGGCCCATTTTATAATAACATGGAGGGGAGTATGTTTTAGTGGGGATAGAGAATTCATTGAGATAAGAGGCCCATTTTTATTTTTTAAAGTCCACTGTCATTTTACTGATTTTGTTATTTTCATAATTATTACTATCCATTATTTATCTATACCAATCAGTATTCTCAAAATTAAACATTTCTATTAATATTATTATTAAGAATATAATTGTTGAGACTTGTTTATCAAAGTCAAACAAGGTTAAAAAACCTCAATTAATCAAATCCAGCAGCGTAACCTCCCTCTACGCTAAGCAACCCAAGCCCAAGAAATATTTAATGTACAAATTAAGTGAAAATCACAAAATCAAATCTTCCAATGAAATTGCAACAAATCGTATCAATTTAAAATCAAATATTTCGCGAAATCAAAGTTTTGAAACATTTACTAAATGAATCATTACATAAAATAGTCCAAATACATTCAAATCTACAAACCCTAAATTAATTTTACAAATCAAATCTACAATTTCAATCTAAATCTTTCTAATTCCTAATTCAATCAACAAATTGTAACGATAATTACAATAATATTTCCTAATATATCATTAATCCTAACCTATAAATGACCCTAAGTTCTAAGAAGAAAGAAGGAAGAAATTATAATAGAAAAAATAGGAGAAGAAGCAGAAGTCGCGAATCAACCTTCTTGATTGAGATCAGGGTTTCAATTTCTAAAATCCTAGATCTGTGTTGCATCATTGTCGCCTTCAAATTTCTATCGCGCCATCGTTACACCTACAAGCAGAAGAAAAGAAATAGATCAGTAGAAGGAGAAGGAAGACAAGGAGAATTAACAAAAACAAGAAGATTCACGACAAGGACCAAGTAAGCCTAATACTTAGCATAATTTAAAATTGTTGTTGGTGGTGGTTGTAAATCGCATGATTGAAGTTTGAATTGTTGTTTCTCGGAAAATCTGGGACTTAGGGTTAGGTTTTAGGGTTATGGTTCTTGTTCAGGATTAGGGTTCATCAGGGTTAGGTTAGGGTTATAACGATTTTTGGTTTATGGGTTTTGGTTTAGGTTACGGTTCTTCACAAACCCTTAGGGCTCTTAGGGTTCATACATGAACCCTATGGTTCGTAGGTTTCTGGGTTGGACTGCTCCGTGTTTCTGAGTTCTGCATGAAGAATGTTTGAATGTTCATGAACTTTTGGGTTTCATATGAACCCAGATGGTGGTTTAGTTTTAATGTGGTGGTGCCTTGGAGCATCCGTCGGTGGAAGCGATTTCCGGCCAGTGGTGCCCAAGGCGGAGACTATTTCCGGTGATAGAAATCTAGAGAGAAGCTGGAGCTTCCCTCTCTAACCTCCAACAAACGTTTGTTTAATTTTGTAAGAAGAGAGAGAATGAGAGCGAAAAATGAGCGTTGAGCTCAGGAATTCACTTTCATAAACACTCTTTGTATCCTGTACGTTATTTCTATTGTGCACCCTCAACACACGCCTTATGATTTTAATCAAACATTCATAAATTGCGTGTCTACTGCAACTCCATGATCTCTCCCACACTTTGTCCAATAAATCAAACAAAATTATTTTGGGCCAAGCCGTTCTAATCACACCCCCTGTTTTACTTCATCAACTATAATTCTTATCCCCATGCATTTTGGGCCTAAATCCAATATCTGGATTTAGGGCCCTGTTATTCATACCCCCCAAGATTACTAGTCAAACAGTTTTCGCACCCCATGCGTTTCTAATTAAAATCAATTTATTTATTTATTTATTTTCTATTATTTTGCATAATTAATATTTAAATATTTAATATATTTATAATAAATTCCAAATTTATTTTAGTAATTCAATTTTTTTATTACTAACTCATTCAAATATTTTAATTGCATTAAAATTATTTTTCTCAAGCATTAAAAAGATTTTTCTTTCTTTCTCATATTGCATAATATATTTGAAAATATCTAACCAATCAAATTACTAACAATTTTCTACTAACTTAATAAACTCAAGATATTATTTTCATAAAGGATTATGGAGATATTTCTCATTAACTGCGAACTTCGTCTAACAACTCCGCAATTTACAAATTCAGACTTGGTTCAAGGAGGATTCGAGATATTTCCATAATCCATAAAAAAACACCAACCAACAACTACGAATTATAAATTGAGACTCTGATACCTCATAAGATGATATGTAGGCATACGACTTAAAATCGTGACGAGTTCCCCTAATTAAAATTAAAACCCTATTTCCTAAATAGTATTAGACATTAGTATATCATATATATTATTATTTCATTTGCACTTTTCATGCACGATATAGAACATGCACAAGTTCCCCCAATAAAACCAGAATAAAGTCTCTGCACATAAATATTTTAATAAAATGATCCATATTTTAAATGATGAAACTCAAACAAACTAATCAATAATTATGAAGACTGAAAAGAAACTAAACCAGTATAAATATAATGCATGTAAAAGAACACTGCAAACCACCAAGAACCCACAACAAAATTGAGATAATAGGAACGCAATAAAAACAATATAATAACACGATTGAAAAACTTATTTTGTGGTCATTTATTTGAAATGAATTAAACAACTTATTTTGTGGTCATTTATTTGAAATGAATTAAACAGCGTTTCAAAATATACGGAGCTTATTTTTTTAGAAAGCATAAAATTTAATGAGAATGATATTTGAATACCCAATAATCAAATTTATAGATTCCGATTTACCATTTTTATTATAAATGGGTCACTAAATCCAGATTTCAGTATTTGAGTTGGGTTTTAAAAATTGGAACAATTTAGATATCAATTTGTTATGGGTAATCGGTTTTTTTATACACCCCTAATTGAAAAGTTTTAAAGGAAAGATAGATGTTCATAAAATAAATATATCAAATTTTGTGGGTTGATGATTCAAATTTAAATCCTTCTCCATATTTTAAACAATCTGAAAGTGAAAATATCCTCAAAGAATCCAAACTTTCCTTTGAAGTCATCTCATTGAAGTCTTCTTTTTTTGAAATGTCTCATTGAAGTCTTCTTACTTGTGCTAAAAAGAAGCATTTTGGCATAGTTGATTCTAAACATTGTTTGTGCTCTATGCAAACCCTTAGACCATTATGCACATCTCTAGAGTTCGTGACACATTTAAGATTTATGGGATAAGTTTATTATTATGAATGATGATAATCGAAGTACTTTCTTTAGCCTTAGATTATTGCAAGATGTGAATTTTAATCTTAAAGTGTCTTGAGTCGGTAATAATTAATGGAACTTGCATACTCTTTTTAGTATCATGACAAATTTGTTATTGCAAGATAATAACCAACTAGTTTTTTGAGGTACCTACATTTTTTTCATCATCATACTTTTCATTGTCCGCTCTCTCATGTTGAGTAAAGAAAGCACAAAATCAATGTGATGTGGAGGTTCCTCCTACTACATTTTTGAAGTTCAATATTGATGAGTCACTAAGTTTTAAGCTTGTGCAAGTTTCATTAGGGATTCTAAGAGAATTTATGTTAATGTTTTTTCTTGTAATCTTGGTCCAATAACCTCCGTTTAGATCGAGATCTTAGGCATAATTTTTGGTTTGAGAATAATGGGTAAATATAAATCCCTCAATTATAAATTGTAATAATCTTCATTTGTTATCCACTTTTTTTTTTTTTAAATCGAATTGATTAAAACCATGACATCAAACACATTTACTAACAAAAAAATTAATGGGTTAAATATATTTTTGTCTCTATAAATATTTTAAATTTTAATTTAGTTTTTATTAAAAAATAACATATTTTGATTTATAATTTTTTATTTATTTATGCAGTTTTAATTCTTTGTTATTGTCTAAAATTTTGAAAACTGTTTAATTACTTTTCAACTTTTAAATTTTTAAATAATTTTTTTTCATAGGTGTTTAAAATATTATAAAATATTTATTTATAAAGTTTTAGAATTTTTTAAAATGAAAATAATTAAATATATATATTTTAAATTTAAAAAGATATTAATAAAAATAATGAAAATCTTGATTTAAAAATCAAATTTTAAATTCTTTTTTTCGATAAATTTTTTATGACGTGCTAAACATGTCTGTAAAATAATTATTTAAAAATACATATTAATTTAATAACAAAATTAAAATTACATATATAATAATTTTATAGAGATTAAAACATGTTAATTTATTTTATAGAAACCGAAATAAAATTTTATAATTGTTTAGAATCAAAAATATATTTAACCAAAAACTAATTATTAGAGATGATCTTCTAAATATTAGTCACTACGAACAAATTTTGTTAGATAGAATTTCCAATTTCTTGTTTAATCCAGTTGTTGATGATTGTGAAAAAAAAATCTATTTTTGTTGTTGTTATTTCTTAGTTGTTTTTGTTAAAATTTGTTTTCAGTTAAAAAAAAGTAAATATTGAGAGTGTAATTAAAAAAAGTAAATATTAAATTGAATAATATTATATAATATACAATAAAGAAAAAAAGGAGTATGGTTGTAAAGTTGGCAGAAAAAGAAAGCTGTAACGGAAACTCATTTTCATTTTGATAGAAACACAGCAGAAAGAAAAGGGAAGAGCATCGCACAGAAAATAACGCGCACAATCTCACCAGACGAGACGAGACACCTTTTCATTTCTCATTCGCCATTGTATTTTTTCTCTATCTATCTCTCTAGGGTTTCATAATCTTCTTCGTATCAACACAACTACTATTCCGAATTCTCAGTTTCCCGTACAATCGCAATTCCTCTCCATTCCGAATCCCTACAATCCCTTTCTTCTCTCACGTTACAACTCCGATTTCACGGTTTGCGAAATGCCCCAAGCATAGAACACGAGGTGCCGTTTTTTTTTATTAATTGATTAATTTTTCATCTATGTTTTGAGAAACAGAAATGTAAATATCTTATTGATGATATTTTGTTGTAATTGGAATTTTTTAGGGGTTTTGAAATTTGAATATGCATAGAGGGAACAAGGAAATTTGTTAATTTTTGAGACAAGGAAATGGATTCTGCGAGGAGTTGGCTTCAGAAGTTGCAGCCTCGTGATAGAACCAAGATAAAGAAGAGGGACGGAGATGGTAATAATGATGGAAATGGAGATTTGATTACACCTGTGGATGAAGGAGCTCTTTCTGATGTCACCAAACAGAAGGTTGCGGCGGCAAAGCAGTATATTGAAAATCATTACAAGGAGCAAATGAAGAATCTTCAGGAGAGGAAGGAGCGGTATGATTCATTTCATATATGGTTATGATAGATACTCAGCTTTTTTATATATCGAAAAACATAAGTCATGATAGTCACATGCCTTCGTAGTTTCGGAAAATATGAGCTTATCTGTGCTTATCTTATCTTATTTTATCTTATGATATTATCACCTGCATAAGTATTTGGAATTGGAACTACTTATTAAATTATTTTTAGTTTATGATATGTCCAAAATTGTCATGTTTTTACTTATTTTTATACAATTGGATGTTATGAAATAATTCCATATATCCTTAACATTCATCTTAAAGTTAAATTTTAGTTAGCTTTAAGCTTGATAAAAATTGCCCCTTAACAAGAGAATAATAATATGGGATCCATAAAACATGGTTGGATAAGCAATTTAGGGACGTTGAAGATGTCACAGAGATGAGCGTTGTTAGAAAGACAAATCAGCAAGATGGTTGGAATGATCACCGACCTAAAAATCTGGTTGGAATGTTGCATAGCTAAGGAAGAAAAGACTCCTTATAATGATCGTCAATGGAAGTTTCTTGGCAGACAGTTATACACATCAAGAACGAAAAGGAATCTAAATTAGCCAACATATCATTTTGAAATTTTAAATCACAGGAAAATTGTTTGAAATTGAAACTTAGGCTGGTGTATATAGCCATGGATAGTTCATCACATCATGGTTCCACATTGAGATAAGAGAAATCACCACTGTATGACTCTTAATGGGGAATGGTATGAATCTTAGCTAATTCTTTTCTATTACATGTCACATAGTTGGGCACCTGGCATCAAGTTTAGTGCAGGATATTTGAAGCCAGATGTCATTTTGGATAGCCAGGGCCAAATTACATTTGGAAATGTTAAAGCTGGGGTCAAGGCTGCTAGAAGGATGCAACAGCAAGACAAACTAATCTAAGATTTTGAGTTAAGTTGAGAGACGGCAAACAGGAAAGTCCACCGATAAAAAGAAACTAAAGAGAGAGATTGGATTTTGTGGACAACCAACGAGAAAAAAAATTATGGATTTAATGGCATTATTACAATAGAATTTCAGACTTAGGGAACTCAACAGTAAAATAGTCACAGTGGGTGATATTGCTTTAATATCATGTTGATGTTATAGGTTTTATTACAAAAGTCTAAGCACTCCTGTTATGCATATTGATACTAGTCTCCTGTTATTAATTAAATTAGAAAATTAATTATGACAGTTACTAGACCACTAATTCCAATTAAATATGAAAAAAAAATTATGATATATAGAGAAATATGGAAAACAATTCTAAGAGATAAATGTAAGACATCACTACCTCCGTCTCCAATATAAGACCTACATGACAAAATCACGAGAATTAAAAAAAAGCTGGTGGTAATATTATATTTGTTTTCCATCATAAATTTGCCTATCGTATCATGTATGTAACCTCTTTTTATAGGAATTCTCCTCCTAGCGTTTCTCATCTTTCGATTCTCATATGGGCCGTTCATTATTGTCAAGTGTCGATATTATTCGTTCTATTATCTAACATCTACTCTTTGCTCCCTCCCTTGCTCGGATTTGAGCTCCTCTTCTAGGCCAGGTCATGATCTCGGACCGAGATTATATATGTCCCTCGTCAATTGGATTGTCTTGGAGTTTTGACCGGGTATGAACAATTTCTCCCAAGCCTGTTTCAATGTAACCGAAGCGACGCTTGCTGCTGATTATGACTCTAGACTCTGCAGCTTCTTTCCCTGAGTTCTTGTCGCGACCCTCCTTTATCATGTTCTTTTTATTCTTTTTTGTCGCTTAATATGGTTGCTGTGTAATCATTCCCTAGTGGGCGTAGGGGCTCTTCCCACTCCCTAGATTCTCCTCACAGTATTTATTATTGATTGCAGAAAAAGATGTCAAATAAATAGGGGAGTATTGTAAAGAAATAATTAATGTCGTTCAAAATTTGAAGAGGGGTAGGAAAAGAAAAATTCTTTTGATGGTTTTATATTTATGGACGTAGTATAAATTAATGCGAGTTACTTACAATTACACAACCCCAAATAGTATGTAATATTTTCTGTATATTTAAGAGAGTTGAAATGTAGTATTGTGAAAGGTGAATTCCTCTCTTAGTTTTTTATTGAGGTGCACCCAGAGATGATTATAGTGTGATAAATATGGCCTCTTTCCTCCCTCATGGTTGGGCAAAGCATGATAAAGTTGCTGGAAATTGAAAAGTCTTTTTTCTTGAATGTAAATGTGCACTGTGTTAGTAGTTGCTTTTACTAACATGTCCTAAAATTTTATAACACCTTGCTTATAACAGTCGGACCGTCTTGGAAAAGAAGTTGGCTGATGCTGATGTGTCTGAGGAGGATCAAAACAACTTGCTTAAATTTTTAGAGAAAAAGGAAACCGAATATATGCGTCTTCAGAGGGCCAAGATGGGTGTTGATGATTTTGAGTTATTGACTATGATCGGAAAAGGTGCATTTGGAGAGGTATGTTATGATTGTATGTGATGAGTAACGAGTAATATGACATCATTGAATATGGTTTCTTCTTCTGGTTTATGATTACTTTCTTTATGTATATTGTTGAAATGTAATGGTGGGTTGTATTGTAGTGTTATTGTTCATCAATCTTAAATTTTTTTTTTCTTTTCTGTTTGGTACTTTGGGTATATAATATGCAATATTTTGTTCTCCTGATTCATTAAATGCATATTGATATTACAATTGATGTGATTTTGAAGAGAGATATACATAATAAAATATTGTAAATTGTAATCAGTGTTGTGTGCTACTGAAGAGCCTAAGGCTTTCATGACGTTTCAGCGATACTTTCTGTAGGGATCTCAATATTTTTCCCTATACAACCATGGATTTGGTAATATAGTGTTGTGAGATTAATTTGAGAGAATCAATCATTACTACTTAGTAGATGGCAAGACTGCTAACATCCTAATGCTAGTCATAATCTTCGATTGGATTTTACATTTTAGCTTACAATAGGAGTCACCCCATCTCTTGCAATATATTATGACTTGCGTTGTAGGAATGGGGTTTAAATTATTATGAAGGAAAGTGTTTATTTCTCCATTCTCTTTCTTACAAAAACTCCAAATACATATATCTCAGCAGTCCTGAACAGTCTGTAGATTGTTTTTTTACTGAAACATCCACTTTTTTCTTGAACCACAAGTTTATTCTTATATTTTTGTGTGTAAAGCTGCCAGAACTTCCCAACTGATTTTGTTTTTCTTTTGTATTTTCCTTTATATGTCTTTGTCAAAAACAATTTGGCTCTTCCTAAAATTTGAATTTGTTGCAGGTTAGAGTCTGCAGAGAGAAGACTACTGATCATGTATTCGCAATGAAAAAGCTAAAGAAATCAGAGATGCTTCGCAGAGGCCAGGTTTACAGTCTTTTGTTTTGCTGGATGATGTTATTCAAGAGAATAGCAATTTTTATGCTTGAGTTTAATAAAGGCATCATGATTCATACTTATCCCCTCTTTTGTGAATTTTTTCAGGTTGAACATGTCAAAGCGGAAAGGAATGTACTCGCTGAGGTTGACAGCAATTGCATAGTCAAACTTTATTGTTCTTTCCAAGATGACGAGTATCTTTATCTTATTATGGAGTATCTACCGGGTGGAGACATGATGACTCTACTTATGAGAAAGGATACCTTGACTGAAGACGAAGCCAGATTTTATGTTGGAGAAACTGTTCTGGCTATTGAATCTATACACAAGCACAATTATATACATAGGTATATATATATTTTGGTAGGGTTCGCTTCTAATGGAGATTTGTATGGCTTTAAGTTAACTTCCAGAACACGCCACTATAACGCTTTCATGATTGGCAGCAAAATGATCCAATGCTGGAAAATGTTCAATGTTTAATCTGTGTGCCCGTATGTTTGAAATATGAAACTTGATCACTGGGCAGTATAAGTTTTACATTTACAATACTCTGTTTTGCAGGGATATTAAGCCTGACAACTTATTGCTCGATAGATATGGACACTTGAGACTGTCTGACTTTGGACTTTGTAAACCATTAGATTGTAGTACGCTGGAAGAAAAAGATTTTTCTATGGGTCAGAATGTGAATGGGTCTACACGGAATGAAGAGCGTTCAGCTCCAAAACGCACACAACAAGAACAACTTCAAAACTGGCAAAAGAATAGGAGGACACTTGTAAGTTCTCTGCTATTATGTTTCGATCTTGCTTTATTTATTGATTGTAATTGCAAAACTTGATGTAGTGTTTTCCTCGTGATCAAGTATTGAAATCATGTACTTATACACTGTACCTGTTAAACCCTCTCCATCACCCAACCAAAAATGGAAAAAAAAGGATGAAAAATAAATGGCTAATTTCTACTGTTGAGAGTATCTGTATGGAGACAGCTTTTTTTACTCCATGCGTTTAAATACTGCTCCTTCCTTCATATTTTCCTTTGCGTGCTTGTAACCATGAATGTAAAAATGTTGTAGGCTTATTCTACTGTTGGTACACCGGATTATATTGCTCCAGAAGTTCTTTTGAAGAAAGGGTATGCGATGGAATGTGATTGGTGAGTTTTCTGCATGTTGACACATGTATACTATATCATCCGAGTTTATTCTTTTCATTCATAACTGAGTGATATATTTTCAGTATGTTCCAACCTATTATCACTTCATTATTCGTTTGGGTTTGGGACTTATTCCTTCTTTTTATTTGTTTCCTATACTTTTTTTGAAAA